CACACACACGCACTCACTCGGCCTGGGACAATTTAGACAAGCCCAGTCACTTCATGGACACATCTCTGGCATGTGAGAGGAAATGGAAGCACCCAGAGAAAACCCACGCACACATGGGGAGAACTTGCGTGCTCCATGCAGACAGTGGCCGCCGGCTGGGACTCGATTCTTTTTTCCAATCAATGTTATAACAAAATAATGTTGAATAAAAGAAGACTATTCGAGAACCTGCTATACGTATTTTTGTTAAGTAAGTTTGTTCCGTTTATTAGCAACTCTCTGCATTCTTTCAACAATATTAATTGAAAGCAGCGATTTTTCAACCAGCATGCTGCAAGAATTTTTAAAACATGAAAGACCTGAATATTTAGTTAAGGGCACTGACCTCTTTTCCCTTAGACCGTCAAATAAAAAAATGACAATGGCCAACACAACAATAGCCATCTGGTGTGAATGAATCAAAATTATACCTTTTTTTGTCAGATCAGCAAAAAATATGTTGTTTGGTGTGCCACAGAGTTGTAGCAGCTAGTTTACGTGCCTTGAGATGAGAGGTTGAAAACCGCTGATCTCGAGGCAGAGCAAGAGGATCACTTCTTCAGGAGCTATGGCTCCTACAGGACAAATGCTCGGTGTTTCAAAATGTGTGTGAAATCTCCAGGGGGGCAGGTGTTAATTAAGTTACAGCTCTTTCTTCCCCGGGCTTTGTGAAATGGCTCCCAACAGTCATCCCAGTCACCTGCTTGAGTTCCTGTTGAAACCCTGTTTCCTGCGTGGCTCCCCCCCTCCCATTCTTCCCAGGGAAAGTATAGATTTTCACGAACACAGAGAGTTTTGTTTTCTCTGTTAAAAACAACTCTACTTGACTGGAGCAGGCTTTATGTTTCGCCCCAGGAAACAGAGCACTTCACTCAGAGGGAGCTCTCTGTCCACCGGGTGAGGTGCAGCCTGTCACCTGACCGGCTCCGGAGCTGCCGGTGGCACTGGGCTGCATTCCTGGAATTCTTTCACCCGGCACCTCACCTCCATGAACAACTTCGGGTTCACTGGGCTGAGTGGATTCCGCTCGCGGTGCCCGGGGTCGGCGGCCTGAGCCTCCTGCCAGCCTCCGAACACACAGCTAAGTGACAGCAGGCGCGCCTTCGAGGAGTAGCACGCAGGTAAACTGAGTGTGCCCGAGACCTGTGACTCCCGAGCTGTGTCACGCTGGGTGCAGAATCCTGTCTCCTTTTGTGGTGTCTGTTTCTTCTTCAAGAAACCTGGCTTGTCAACCAATACCTGCTTAAAAAATGTCTACTAAATAGCGAGAGTATGGGCTTCAGATTAGGCTCCCTGGAACATTAGAAAAAGAAATTACGAGTGCAAAAGTTGGGAGTAAGGAGGAATTTTATAAACCACATATTTTTGTAATTCAAAAAGTATGAGATTTGGAGGCTGACCGACTTGGACGTGAATCTTGGCTCTGTATGTAACCTTGGACAGGATGTTTAATCTCACCAGTCCTGTTTCCTTTTTGGTAATAATATCTACCTGCAGGGTTGATGGAGGACCGAAGAGAAGAAAGTGTCTAGCAAAGAGCTTGCTGTATAGAAAGTATCTGAGTGCACACATATGTGCGTGTGTGTGCATCTGTGTGTGCTTGTGTGTGAATGGTGGGGCATCTGTGTACATGCATACAGGCCACAGGGCGATGCCGTTCCCAAGGATCGCGGGTTTCCCAGAAGGTGAGGTTGAATTTGATCTGGCTCTGACCTTCTCTGCTGTTGCAAAGAGACCAGACACTTGAGTAAAACGTTGACCCGAGCTGCTGAAAAATAAATAACGTGTCTTGCTGATCCTTATCGAGGAAAAGATGGTGTCGTGTAGCATGGGGGGCGCACTTTCAATGAGGACTGACGGGAAGGGAGGCAGCTTACTGATCATCACACACAGTCACGTATACAACTGCACACAGCCCTGAGAGGCTTTGTCCTGGGAGGTCAAGTGCCTTCAGTCCTGGCTCTGCAGCTTACTCTTCATGTGCCTCTGGGCTGGTGGTTTTCCTCTCTGAACATCAGTTTCTCATCACATGGAATTACCGTGCGAATTAAGTTACTCAGTACTTGGGAAGTGCTTGGAGCACTGCCTGACACATGGTTAACACTCACCAAACATCAGCTGTTGGTACCATTATTTTACAAAGAGCTCTTTTACGTGCTAGCAGCTTTGATCTTCAAAACAGTCTGATGAGATAGGCTAGGCAGGTATTAGCCCCATTTTGCAGATCAAGAAACTGAGGCTCAGGAAAGGGAAAAGCATGAACCAAAAGTCCCATAACTACCAAGTGGCCAATCTGGGACTTGAACCTCAGTCCCCAGACAAGAAGCTGACTTTGTATGTACTCAGGACACATGAACTGAATGAAACATGCTCTGAAAGGTTTGGCTCAAACACCGTTTCCTCCACAAAGCCAGTCCTAGCCTCTTCTCCAGGAGAGATCTCTCTCTTCCTTGTGCTTCCCCAAACTTTCCTTTACAGTACACAGGAAACTTTTCTCTGGGTCATCCCTGTCTTGTAGATTGTTTGCCAGCCCTCCATCCCTCCTCCCCCTACCCCTAGATGTGTGAAGATTTTCATGTACAGCTGTGTGTTGAACAGTAATGTTTTGCACATGCTGGACATTCATGAGTAAGAGCTGAAGGTGGAAGTGTGAATGTGGGGCATGGAGAGTGAAGTTGCCCAGGAAAAGCCTGTGGGTGCTCCCCCCCCCCCC